CTTATAAAAACAAATGAGCCCAATGTCCTTGAAAGCCCCTATTCACTCACAGTTAAATGTTAGAGACTTATTTATAATTCACATTTTTAGGCTGCAAGGCACTATTTTGTAAATTCATGCTCCACTGTTAATGGCTAATAAGATACTAGTGGTATTTCTTTTAAATGTTTTTTTTTTTTTTTCAGGTGATGGAACCAAATAGCAGAGTAGTTTTTAGCTAAAAAACCTGCTGCTTTTGCAACTGGACAATGTTATCAAGGTCTTGAAGGGAACTAGATGAGACCTTGATGGCTTGAAAAACAACTCAATTCTCTGAAAAATAAAATTGTGAAGCAGGCTGGTACTCCTCAGGTCAATTTGGTCCTTCCTGTAACTTCAAGATATCCCCCTAAAATGAGGGTACAGAATGCTCTCAGACAGTTGAAACAAAATATACAAACACTATTATCCCATAAAAATTCTTTTATTATTTTGGTACCAGGGATTGAACACCAGGGCACTTAACCACAAGCCAATCCCCAGCACTTTTTCTATTTTATTTTGAGACAGGGTCTCACTAAGTTGCTTAGGGCCTCACTAAGTCACTGAGGTTGGCTTTGAACTTGCCATCCACTTGCTTCAGCCTCAGGAGCCATTAGGATGACAGGCATGTGCCACTGCGCCTGGCTCAGAATTCTTAAGCAGCATCAAAAAATCACCATGAATCTGTCATAAAATTAGTCTGAGATAACCAGAGTAGGAGGTGTAATATCTTCAGCACCCTATTCCAACCCAAGTACTGGGGATTGAACCCAGAGGGCTTACACATGTTGGCAAGTGCTGTACCACTGAGCTGCATCCTCAGTCCTTTTTATATTTTGTTTTGAGACAGGATCTCATGAAGTTGCTCATGATGGCCTTGAACTTCCAATTCTTCTGCCTCTGCCTCCTGAGCAGTTGGGATGATGGGTGCCGGTAACCGGAGACCCCATTCTCACACACTAACTCTGTGATACATAATGAAAGAAGTTGTAAATCTAAGTTAAGTAATGGAAATTCTTGCTGAACTGAGTGGAAGTTAAGGAGGTTATCTATGTCTTTTCTCACTACTGATGAATTTGTTCATCTTAGCTGAGTTGAATCAAGTCCTGGAACTTAAGTTATTAATTATAATTTATCACTGGCCAACACCTGAGTATGGTCTGCACTTTCTAATTGGCCAGAGTCATGTGCTTTTCATAAAGCTGATAAATGACACTATTCAGTGTAGAGTCACTGTCCTTCCAAGAATATACAGGTACTGATTACTAACCTACTCAGATCCACATGATTACCCATAAATAGCAAAGGACATGCAGGGCCTCCTACACAGTCCCATGTGACCAAAGGGGGTGGCTGTGGCCTTTCTTTGGAACCTATAATCTCTCTCTCTCTCTCTCTCTCTCTCTCTCTCTCTCTCTCTCTCCCAGGATGCCTAGAAAAGTCCATCTGACCCCAAGAAAGCTAAATTCTCAAGATGACCCATGGACTTTAGCTCTTTCTATGTGCCTTTGTAAGCCAAGTTCCTGCTCAGGACACACAAACTGCTCACCCTGGCTGGGATGGCAGTCATTGATAGGATCCAGCAAGAGTAGGATGCAGGAGAAGGGTCTGTCCCTGGTGGAAGACAGTACCATCATTAGGGGTTCAGAATTTATAACCATCTGAGTGTCAAGTATTTCTTATTCTGCTCTACTGAGCTCTAGGCCAAGATAAGGGACAGAAAGATGACGCTAGTATAGGCTGATGCCTGTGTCCATAAGCATTCCTGTTTCTAGTGAGAATCCAAGGTTCATTCTCATTGTCACATGGAGCAGAGGGTCATGTCCTCATGTGTGAAGACTCCTCCTGTGCAAGCCACATCTTGGTGTGCCTTCGGATGCCTGGGCCTCACTGAGCTGAGTTCTGATTGCATTCATGACAGAATCTCCATTATATTCCACAAAAGAAGAGCCACAAAGGAGGTCTCACAGCTCAGAGCTGAGTACCTGCTGGGCATAGCTTCTTTGGTCTTGCTCAAAAATCCCTAAATGTCCAGGGTAGAAGACCACAGGCATGGTAGCACAGGCCTGTAAACCCAGCTATTTGGGAGGAGGAGGAGGGAGAAAGATCACAAGTTCAAGGCCAGCCTGGGCAACTTAGCAAGACCATGGCTCAAAATAACAAATAAAAAGGGCTGAGGGATAGCAGCGGTACAGTGCTTTCTAGTATGTGTGGGGCCCTGGGTTCAATCCTCAGTACTGAAGTTAAACATACCAACAAAAAAGACCACAGAAGTCTAGGCCTGGTAAAGAACATGGAAAGCACCAAAGACAGTTTGTCCCTGCAGAGGCAGGACACAGGCAGTGACTTGGTGCTTAGACTCTGCAGTCCAATCCCCTGTACTTGAAACCTGGTTTCTTCTTGAGCTGGGTGACCTTTAGCAAGTTATTAACCTCTCTAAGACTCAGCCGCATTATCTTTAGACTGAGGATTATCGTGAGGATTAAATGAGACAATTCATGTAACATACGGACCCGAGTGCCTGTCACGTGGTCAGCGCTTCATAATCATTAGAAATGACTATTCTAGTAACTCAATGAATAAACATATGAAGTTCAAACAAATCACATCATGTGTGAGGGGAAGAAAATCTAAAAAATAAAAACAGAACGAAAGAATGTGCCCTCTGAAAACAGACTGCGGCCATTGAGAGGATGTAAGTCCAAGAGTGTGTGTTACAATTAAAAAGGAAAAAGAAGGGAATTTGTATAAGTGCATGCCTGTGTGCATCCTTGAGAATCTTAAATGCTTTAAGGGATGATTGGGAGAACTTTCTAGGGTTGCATGATAAGGTCCTACAGCCTGAAATTAATGTGTGAAGTAGTCAGACAGGAGAATCAAAAGACAAGGATTCTGGGCTGAGCTGCTCGAGTCAGTGGGGCCTGGGAAATGCACTTGAAGGGAAGGAGCCCCACCAGGAAAGCATCAGGAAAGGCAGGATTTGGTCCTAAGTCTGAAGGAGGAGGCCTTGTCTAAACAGCAGAGGCCCTGGTCCTTGAGTGGCCTGAGAGATTGAAGGAATGGTGTGGCCCCAGGCTGGGGGGCCAAGACAAGAAATCACAAATGACCTGGGAGGGCTGAAAGACAAAACCTGAGGATATCTGTGAGTGCCTGAGAATTTTCACTTATGCCTGGGAGGTAACCAGAGGTCATGCAGATGCCTCCCATTTCTGTGCCATCCACGTCACCTCTGAGACCTGCCTCATGCCCACGCCTCACTTCACCCTGCTCCCATCTGCTCCTTGGAAGGTGTCTGTCCCACAGCACCACAGTGCCTCTCTGTCTTTGGCATCATAAATCTTGGAACACCAGATAACAGATGCACTTCACACACGACATGTGCTAGCATTCTTTACACCAACAATAAAAACTTAGATTGCAAAGGGCTTTATTTGCCTATTGCAAAGAAACTGGCTCCTTGCCAAAGCCTCAAGGTCCAGTTTTAGGGATCACAGTTCAAGGCTCTGATTACACAGCTACACTTAAAAGGCCTGCACTGGGACCAGGGACCGCAGGGTGTAAATCCTTGCTTTCACTTCCCAGCCCTGTGATATGGTACCAGTTACTTCCCCTCCCTGAATCTCAGTTTCCTCTTTGTTAAATGAAAACTATATGAACTTTACACACAGATAATGAACATGTGCAAAATGATATGAGATATGGGATATAAGCAAAGCATCCTGCCTGATAACTAGCACACAGAAATCACTTAATAATTGCAGCTGTTGGGTATTATTGTTGCTGGTCTGAAACTAATATTCCAGGGACATAATGATGTTGATGAGATTTACTGCAAAGTAGAACTGAGGCCCTCACTGATTTAAACAAGGGAGGCCGGACCTTGATGTACCATTTAAAAAGCAATCTGCTCTTGGTGTCTGCAATTCACCACCCTCTAACTCTACAGTGGACACCTGACAAAACAAGTAGACCATTGTAAACCTATTAATGAGGAGGAAGCTGGTGTTTGGGAGACCTGTGAAATTACTACCCAATTACTGTGCAGTTAGTGAACCTTTCATTTGCAGCCCAATTTCCCCAGTAGCTCAGCACTCTCAGTTTCATAATTGTCCAGAGGCTTTGATTTATYTTGGAGAGGATGGAGGTCTTGGAGATGTGAGAAAGCTTCTGGGAAGGAGACCTGAATAAAGGTCTGTGTGACCACAAGGTTCACAGCCTCACTGGGGACCTGCCATGCAAGAGACTGTGGCTGGCAGTGCGGTTTCCCATGCAGCTGACAGTAGCATCTGCTGCTGAAGGTGGGCCTTGCCTACCAGCTAAAGAACAGGCCCTGAAGGAGGGTGTGGGGAAGGACTCATGAAATGCTGTTCCCAGAGTTAACAGGAGAACCAATAGGCAGGCGCTGCTTTTCCACACTTGGCATCTCACTTATTTGCCTATTCTCTGTGGTTTAGTTAACACCTGTATCCCACCTCTTGATCATACTTATATAACTCATCCATTCCATAAATGTTCATGAGTCACCTACTGTGTGCTGGGCACGGTTCTATAGGCACATTAGGGAATGAGGGAATAAGAGATCAAGTCTGTGGAGCTTACATTCTAGCAGGAAGGTAGAGACTTACACAGAGCATGTCTGAAGGTGGTCAGAGTGCGGTAAACAGGGATGGGAATAGAACATGCCACAGGGAGAGAGGTGCAATTTAAGTAAGGTGGTCAAGGAAGGCCTCACCAAGAAGGTGATACCGAGCAAGACTTGAAGGGGTGGGGGCCTTCACCAACATGTCTACAGTGACCACACCATCCGTCTTCTGGGTCTGAGAGCACTCAGGCCTCATCCCCCTTTTCAGTCAAGGTGTGTGTGCGTGCACCCACCAGGCAGTGGCCCCAGCCTCGAGAGTGGGATCTGGGCTCTCTGTGGAAGCTTGGGGAGTGGCCACAGCTGGGAGAGGGTGTAGGGTGGCCTGCAGCATGCTCACCTCCTCCAGCCGCCGGCGCTGCTCCTTCTGCTCCTCAATGCGCTTCTGGCGCTCTGCCAGCAGYTGCCGCTTGTGCTCCTCGTTCTCCCGCTGCTGCTGCTCCAGCTGCTGTCGCCGCAAGGCCTCTGAACGCTCCTTGTTGGCCAGTTGGAGTCTCAGGAAGTCCCGTCGCAGTGTGGACTCCCCTGGCAGGTTCAGAATGGAGCTGTGGGCAGGAAAGAGCCATTAGGATTCTGCATGGGGCAGGGGCCATGGCTACTGTGGGTCCTGGGGGAGGGCAGCAGGGCCAGAGCACAGGCTCCTAGTTTCTCCATTAGTTCAAACATTTACCTCCAAAATGGGGGTCTGGGAAGGAGAGGCATGTTTAGCCTTCTTGCAGTGGGACTGGTGCATATATATGCCATCTCCATCCCCAGAGGGATGCCACATTCCTCCAGAACTGTCAATACCACAGTCCAGTAGCAGAGATTTGTTTAAGACTAGCGAGTGTGCAAGCCCTGGGCCCCAGGTTGGCTGTCTCCACATTATGAGAAGACAAAGCAAAGAAAAGTGAACCTTCTGGAGCAGACAGGGGAACCACTCACTTAGACAAGCACAGATCACCCTCACTCATACCACTACCCTCCCGCTCACACCAAACCCCAGGAGGCAGAGGTCAGGCTGCTCCTGTGAAGACTCAGTCAGGGAAGGAAAAGGCTAGAGGCCATATCAACACAGAGCCAGGATGGAACTCAAGTTTGCTAAAGTCTAAGGAGTTTGGAGCTCGATCCAGTGAATTGTAGTTAAGAGACTTGGTTCTGTCAGCAGAGTGTGCAGCTGGAGTCGCAATCTAGATCACTGACTCCTAGATTCTGTTTCAGTAAAAGTTTCCTCATCCATAAGAAGGTGGTTTGCATGTGTTTGCAYGTGCACACAGCACAGAGAGCAAGAGGACGAACTCATGCATTTGGCTGGTTTGCTGGTAGTCTGGGTCTGCTCTACCCCAATCTAACTGCAAGGGAGCAGCTTACAGTTCTAGCCTCCCTGGTTCTGCATTGCAGCCTAGCAGAAAGGTGGAAAATGGCTTCTGTTTTTCATACTTAGCCCTTTAAATCTTTCTGGAAGCTTCCACCTGAAATAAACTCATTAAACATATTTACTAGCACCTGCTATGTGACAGGCACTACTATAACAGGCTCTATGGAATCAAAATGAAGGGAAAGAGTGTCCCAAGCAGAACAAAAACAAGTTTAGAGCCCAGGTTAGGACAAGTGTGGCCTTTCCCAGGAACTGAACACCAGCCCGTTCTCCCAGAATTGAGGAAGCGAGAGGATTACGGCATGAGGAGGTAGAGAAGCAGATTGTGCAAAAGCGTGTGGACATTGAGCCATGCATGGAAAGGCTTTGAGGAGAGGAGTCCCAGGAGCAGGCCTGTATGGCTGCAGCATGGATCACAGTCTGTGAAGCTAACAGCAGGTCTACTCCAGCAATGGTTCTGCATAGGGGCTCCAAGCAGGACAGGAGCAGTAGGGACGGAGGCTGGAAGAGTGTTTGGGGATAGAGTTATGGAGACCCCGGACAGGCCTGATGTGTGGAGGGAGGGATGACTTGCAGGTTTTGTCTCGGCAGCTGGTGGTGGTGGTGAGGAGGACTGGAATGAGGAATGTAGTTTTGGTGGCAGCTGACAAGAGGATTTGGTTTAGGAGAGTTGTTAGCATGCTGTGTGAGATCCTGCCATAAATGTCATAAAAAGGCTTTGTTTGTGATATTCCACAGACAATCCCACAGTCCATTAACAAGCCTCCTCTAAAACTTACTGCCTTTGTGTAAAACTCTAAGACAAACCCCTAAATGATAGTGCTTCTATGCACAGGCCACTTGCTCTGTGCAGAGGGGATGGGGGCTTGGGAACTTCACCTCACGTGTACCAGAGGATGCCCCATTAATATTAATCAATGTTGAATCAATGTCAGGAGACCTGAGCTGCATTAGTGACTCAATTATTAGTGACCCGATTGCCACCCTTGAGCTGTCGCTTCATTTCTAAAATGAGATAACCATTGCCTTTTCTATTTCTTAGGATTTCATGAAGATTAATTAGATGCATCCATAAAAACAGGACTTGGCACACCATCTTCCACAGGGTACGAAATAATGACATGTTAAAATGATTGCTGGTTGGATCACTAAGTGCCTCCTAACGCACAGCTTAGCAAGTGCTGGAGAGACGGGGTTTCTCAGTTCTTCAGAGAATGGTCAGAGGGCTGATATGACCATCTGGGTAAGCTTTCAAAAAATAGCATACCATTTCTCAGAAAGCAGGGCATTTGGACCTTTGCCTTAGAGGAATGTTCGTTTTCCACGTCACTGCTTGACAGTYCTCATTTTTATGTAGCTAAAGTGGGGGTGGCCGACATGCTATGTATTAGTTGGAAGGAAACAATTCTCCTTCCGTGATGGACCTTGAGAAATCCTGTGGCAGGTGAAGACAGAAAAAATGATGGCCCTGTGTGTTCAGTCTCACCCTTTTAGCAAGGCTCCTGGTCCGCAGGTCTGAGCTAGCTCAAGAGAACACAGACATCCAGCTCATTCCAGTTGCAACAACCCTGCTCCTGGTCAGGAGGCTTGGTGTCAGCAATATAAGAATTGGTCCTTTGAATGCATCCACTCCTTGGATGGCTACAGTTTGGAGACCCCTACATCTGGTGGCCCTCTGTGTGGGCCAATAGAGCTTACTTCGCATTTATAGTGCATAGCCCTCTGGTATGCATGGCTCTTGCCTTGCTGAGCTTCTGCCAGCTGAATTCTCTTACKAAAGAGAAATCCTGGCAGTGCCAGCACCCAAGTCTTAATTATTTATAAACACAGACTGGAAGAAAGTTGGAAGCAAAGTCAAGTGGAATGCACAACGTAGAGATGACGACAGCGAAGGTGAAGCAGCACTTGACTCCAGGCCTGAYGTGTGACAATGAGACTGGCATGGAAGCTTCCACTCGGGGCTCACCTCCAGAGTGTAATTTGATTTCTTGGAAATCATTTYCTCTTGGATTAGGCTGCAGTGAGCATGCCGAGGCATATGACAAGGACAGCGGCCTTCTCAAAAGTACAAGGTAATGAGCTGAATAACTCAAGTCTGATAATATCACTTAGGTCTCCCCAAAGTCTCCGTTTTAAGTACTTTTCGTTCTGCATTACCCAGATAAATRCCCACTTTACATGATGCATATGTGAAGAAACAAGATCTTGAATAGAGACCATAAATCTTGGGGGACAAGATAAAGAATATGCTGATTTCCACATTTTCTTCAGAGTCTGCCTAAGGAAACTTCCCCAAATTAATGAGCTATGTTTGTAGGCAATAAATTAAATAAGACCACCTTGGTGGATTCTTAAAAATGAACCTATAAATCAAAAGAAAAGTGAATGCTCACAAACACAATTCAGAATGTGGAAATCAGAAGGCCTGGCTTCTGCGTTCATACCTGGGTTCTCCCGAATCGTTYTCCTCCTCTTCCTCCTCACTGCCGCTGTACTCATACTCTGTCTCATCTAAAGAGAGATTCATAGTGCATCAGTGCACAGGACRGTGACAGCCGAGTGAACCCTCCACCCCTATTCATGTCCAGTCATAACTCACATCATGCCACCTTGGTCAACAACAGACCATGAACACAGCATCAGTCCTTTAAGATTATAATGAAACTGAAAATATCATGCTACCCAGTGACATGGGAGCTGTCCTATCTTCACAGCACAAGCATGCCTCACCTGTTGGTGGTAATGCTGGTGCCAACAAGCCCACTGCCCTGCCAGTCATATAAAAGTATTCACCCTACTATGCTTTTTCTCATTATTTTAGCGTATTCTCCTGCCACTTGTTTTTTAATTCCCATAAAGCAGTATGCCAGGTTGGGGGTGTAGCTCAGTGGTAGAGCACTTGTCTACCACTTGATCCCCAGCACTGCAAAAAACAAACAAAAAATCCAAAACAAATAAAAAAACAACATATGCTGTGTAATGCTGGCAGTAGCCTCAGACATCTTCTGTGGTTTGTTGCATCTCTTGACTACATCAAGAGAACATGTCCAGTGACTGACCTATGTGACCTGGTCTATATAAGTATACTGGATGATAATCGMTGAATGACGACATCGTTTAATGACAACTCTCAGAACACATCTTGTCATCAAGTGATGTGTGACTGTATAAGTAAATTGAGGCCCACAGAGTTGTGGCTAACATGGGACTGGGGTGTCCTCTAGGCCTCCTGACTTGTCATACAGCAGTTCCCACCAACTGGATTTAGGTACCTGGCCTTAACTGCCATCAAGACTGTCCCAGCTGACCTTAAATAGCGGTCCCCAGTGACTAACATTCACATGAAAAAGAAACTAAGGAGTTGAAAAATAACTTCTGTGTAACCTCTATTGTAGAATCACCATATCAAACTTTTTGGCCCACTATTAACTTATCACTAAATGATTTATCATGTTATCAGCCATTTTGAAAGTGATATTTTGTTATGACTTACATGGCCTCACAAATTGCCTTTAGATATCTTGATAAATACCAGAAAGAAACTTTTGACAACTGGTATGATTAACATGTAGTTAGAATGTGTTTTTATTGACAGTAAGCAAGTTAACATGAATAAGATTGAGTCTGTGCTTCAGAGGATATCAGAATGTAACAGGCAAGACAAATCAATAATCAGAACTACCATGTCCACAAAGAAAGGGAATGAATATTTGTCAAGTGTCAGGAGCCGCCCTGTTCAGGAGCTATGCACACACCTTTAAGTCCTGAGTAAAGAGGTACTGGACTGGTATTGTACCCCACAATGCAAGTGGACTTTACCTCCGCTTGGATAAAAAAGGCACAGCTCCAGGAGTGGTTGTTACCCAATAGGGTTGAATTACACCACCTGTTTTATTGTAATCCTACCCTTCTGCCCTTTTTTGGATAGAATGTTCCATGGATTCGTCTCCCCCGCCCCTGCCATTAATAAAAACCTGTGTTAGAGGCGTGCTCCCTCTTTTTCTTGCCTGCCTTGCTTCTTTGGTGGAAGCTGGGGCAGAGGGGCTGTCACAGAACCCAAAGACAAAGGTATTTCTGTCTGTGTGTCATTATTTCATGCCAGCCCAGTTCTCCTAGAGTGACCTTGACCGGTTTAGTCGTGTGTCATGGAGGTTGAATGTCTCACATGCAAACAACTAGTGTTGAGTTACTTTACCTGCAGTCTTTGTTTATTTCTCATAATAATCCTCTAACATAAAGCCTATTTTCCAACTGAAGTTACTCGTATTACAAAAGGTGAAGTGCCTTGGCCAGTGTCATCACCTTATAATAAAATGTCAGGCTGGGATGTGGATTTAGAATTCAATCCAGAACTTTTCAACCTTAAAACCAGAGCTTCTTTCCAACATGTTATATGCTAAACAGAAGTACATAAAAAGAGCCATGAAAACATGAAAGAAAAGAGCAGCTAGTTCCACAGCTCAGAAAGGAAGAAAGGAACAGTGAAGTACTGAGGTGGGAATGAGCTGGGCCTTAGAAGGTCAGTGGCCCTTCTCCAGCACTGGTAGCTGGAATTGGCAGGGAAAGGGCATTCCAAGATGCGTATCCACGTGAACAAGGCTAGCGGTATTACATGTGCAAGAAACCATGAGTTGTGTGTAGCTAGGCGTCCAGGTGTGGGAGAAGTAGATGGAGGGAAGAGGACAGAAGGGGGTGAAATGGTGAAATAGCTCACTAATCCTTATATATGTCATGCTGGAGATATATCTGTGGGTGATGAGGAGGCTTTAACGATGGAACATTACTGTTATCTCCTCCTAGATCTGAGTTTGTAATTACAACTTCAAAGATATTTTGGCACCCCTACAAGGGAATTAAAATGGCAATTTGGTTTTGTTACCACTAGGAGGCAGCATTCACAGGGGAAAAACAGGTTACAACTTTGACACTAAGCAGGCAGCAAAGAGATAATGAAAAAAACTCATGTGTGATGAGTTCAACTGTATTTTTTAAAATCACAAATTAGTTTCATATCTTTAGGTTAAGTGTGAAGTTTTCAGGCTACTTTTTATTTTTACAGGTTTTTTTTCACCTAAATGTAAAATCCTGCATAAAGTGTCTTAATACGCCATATCAAAAGTTTAATACTTCAAACTTTTCTAAAATGGATAAACAGAGTTCAAAGTAAAATGAAGACATTTTATCTAATAAAGTAAATTGCAGCAAGGGAAAGAAGCGCACAATTATTCCTAATTGTGTAATTCCACTCTCTAAGGTAAAAGCTTCATTTGTCAGGCTTCTCAATTTTAATACCTCACCAGAATTTGGTTTGATTGCTTTTGTACTTCTGGGTTAAATTAGTACATGTCAACATACCTTAAGGAAAAGTATCAGATTAAATAAACCATAAAGCAATGCAAATTAAAATTGCTTGATTCTACCAGAAGCTGGTCACAGAGGAAGCTACTAGGAGGGAAAAAGTTATGAGGGGGAGCAAATTAAGTGATTTGATCAACAGCAAATGGAAGGAGATTTCAGTTGATCAAATGCCCTTCCTTGCAGAGCAAAGATGAGGCTGGAACTGTAATTATAGGACCCTAAACCTAAACAGGATGAGATTCCTTAAACTACAATGTAACTCTTGAATAGACCTACTGCCACTCTACAGAATAAACACATTAAAAGTAGTCTACGCTTCATTGCATAGTGGGTTCCAGGTTTCCCAGTCTTATTCACAGATCATGATTTCTAGAAGGTATCCCTGAAGAGCACTGAAAAAATAGGCTCATAAAGAATTGCCTAAATAAGAATGCTACTGAAAGCACCTATGTGCCAGAAATGGTATAACTATTTTACACACATTATTTTATCTTTGCAACAAGGCCAGGAAATAGGTATTATTATTTTTATACCCCCAATCCTATTTTGGAGATGAGAAAACTTGGATGAAATTCACATAACTGATAAGAGGCAGGGCTGGAACTGGAACACAGAATTTGATTCTCAAAACAGACTGAACATTTCACCTAGTCTGTATACCCATAGTACAATCAAATTTCCCTTTTAGAGAAGTTGGCATTTAATGTTTAGATGTTTGATATGTTGCCCTAAAACATTCTCTTTTAAGTTTTGACTTCAGGGAGTGGCCCCAAGACCACGATGGAAAAAGAGCAGCTGAAATGTCAGTCTTGGAACTTCTCGATACTGCCCTATGGGTTTCTCCTCAGGCCTAGTTCCTTCAGCTTGGTCTGGCCTCCCTGTTTCTTGGAGCCTCATTGACATCTTATCCCTATCCCCCCACTCATGGCTGGAGATGGGCCTCCTTTTCGTTTCAGCCTCATGACCTCCCACTCCTGATCACATACTTTCCTTCGACTCCCTGAGGCTGGCTGTATAAGGGGGTTTTGACCAGAACCTTCACTAAGGATTTTTCCTCCTACCTGGGTCCTCTGCTGATCTTCCCTCTCCATCAATCTACTGGTGCCCTTCCCTAAGCCTCAGCTCACACACCTAGCTGCATTGAGGTTGCTAATTATAGAGGCAAAAAGGGAGAAAAATGGAAATAAAGGAGGACTTCTGTCCTACCTGTCTGCCACCCTCCTGGGCTCCCTCTGAACTGAAAAAAAAGAGGAGGGGGTGGAGAAGAGGGAAGCAAGGAAGAGCACATCACCAGTGCCTTCCCACCCCATGAGCCTCTGGTCCTCTGCTCTAAGCTCCACTCTCACCCCTCCAGCCCACACTGCCTCCTGCTGTCCTCTCCCTGCCCACTGTCCTTCCTGCTCTCCATCCAGCAAGTCTTTGCTACTGTCTTCTCCATCTCTGTCTTCCATACCCCAACCTTCCCTATCTCCCTAAACTATGCTCATCTGGCCATAAAACCTGCCCCAGGTCACGTGATCCTTCTCTTGGTCAGGGTGCAAGTGAAGGAGGGGCAAGCTTTCAAACAATGAGGGTGAACTACTAGAGCCCCACGTCGGGACGCATATCCTTTCCAAAGAAGCACTGAAAACACTGCGTGGTATGAGAGAGGAGTTTTTGCATCTGTGAAATAAAGAAGTGCCTCAAATGACCTTMAGCTCAAACTCTGATGTTCCATATAGCAAGTCTGGCAACCTAATGATCTTTGATATCACTGCAGCTCTGAGAAAATTCTTTCTGACTTCTAAATAACTGAATTAGAAATGAGCCTCAGAGCACAGAAACTTAAATGCTGAAGACTGTCAGTAGAGAAAAATGTCAACTGGATGAATTTTGGTTTTTTTCAGGTTGTCTGTCTTCTGTAGATTTTTAGTCTTCTGAGCATGAATATTCATTTGAATTAAGAAAATCACTTGTCATTTTAAAGTGCTTCATAGTATCACGCCACACAAGTTTGCTCAGTGCCTGGAAGAGGGGATGTTTCACACGGATCTATTTTTTTCATGGAAGATTCTATTTCAGCAGTGGATTTCACTCCACTGATGTCTTAAGACTTCGATCTCAATGGTGGTCCCCAGCACTAAGAGAGCAACGCATCTGAAATCTCTAGTCACCTCTGAATCCACCAAGAGCCCACGGCTCACGCTCCATCTTTTGTTTCTCTTGCTCAAATGCAAATGTGCATCTAACCTTTTTCTCCGCGCTTCTTCTTGGTTCTATCAATATGGTCCTTGAGCTGGATGCGGACCTGTCGCTCATTTGGCTGGTCTCGTATAAACGGGTGCTTCATCAGCTGTTCTGTTGCCGGTCGCTGGCTGTGATTCTTTACCAAGCAGCTCTCAATAAATGACTGGAATTTTTTTGACCTGTCAAACAAAAGAGATGAATCCGCAGATAAAATGACAATCCCTCCAAAAACAAATATATATATTTTTGAAATGCTGGAATTAAAAAAATAAAAAGGCCCCATCCATCGGTCAGCATAGATATCAACCAATCACAAAATAGGTCTAGCACTATATTAGGTACAATGGGGGCCAAAGGCATCGTCACCATCAACACACAGAACTGAGGTTACATATGGTAGTTAGCATATGAAAGCATCTGCACAGTGTATACATAACATTACACAGAAGACCAAAAGGAATTAGGGAAGAAAAAGCTCTCCCTGAGGACCCTTGCTGGAAGGGCTACTGGAATGAGGAAACCAAAGTGGGGCCTTAAAGAATGAGGAGAAAAATCACTCTAGAGAAAAGATAGTTCAGGTAGGCAAAACAATCAGGGGAAAACTGAAGCTAGGAGGGAGGCTACATATGCAGGGGCATTAAGATGAGTCGATTAAATGAGACAGAAAACACAGACTGGAGAAAGGCAGAGGGAGGGAGGGGTGAGGAGGGTGCACCACAAGCAACATTCTTACATGGGAAAGTGAACACTGATCAGGCACATTTTTTAACAGGTAATTTCTGAATCACTTTGAACTTTGGTTTCCAATGAATTGGAACAGGATGTACGTATTTTTGCCATCAACCCAAGGACTTGAAAATTTGGATCTAAGTTCACACCTAGAAGCACATATATCTCCCTCTGGAAAGGCCCTATTTCCTCAAAGATTAACTCTGTGCCAGAGATGCACAGGGGCAGGTCAATCCGTAAAGAGATAACACACCAACAAGAGATGGCAGCAAGTCCACATGTGGTTGAAATTAATGGTGGACTTTAGCCATGATTCATGAGCTGGGCACACATGTTCTTGCTGAAGGTTCCAAGAAATCATCCAGTCATAAATAATTAAGCTCACGACTGACTCTGCCTTTCCAAGGCACTCCACTGACAGCTCAGTACTTCGTCCCTGGAGACCAGGGTGGAACCTTGGACATCCTGTCCACCTAACCCAGAGCAGGAAAGGCCCATTCTATGCTCTCTGTCACCCTCCTGTGGTGCCCTGTGGATCCCCACAGCTTTCCCAAGTTTCCCAGAAAGCCATATTTATTTCAGGCCTGAACAAACTGGGGAGTGCGTACTTCAATATTCAAATGTGAGAGGCACTTCTATATGGTCTACTTTCTATTTCTGCCTCCGTCAAAATGATTTTTCATTTTAATCCATGTTTTTAAATTTTTCCCCATATTTTTAAAATTGGTATTCCGTGTTTTTGAAGTACTGAATTATTGGTATTTTTTTCCCCMAAAAATTTCTAAGCTAAGTTTAAGTCTTAGAAATAGTTTGCATAGAAATAAAAGTAATCTACTGTGCTTGGGGTTATCCCAGGATGAATCAGGATAGGCCACATCATAGACTAGAAATAGTGACAAGAGGATGGATATTATGCACCTGCCTATTCAGTCCTTCAGCCCATGTTTCTGCTTCTCCCATACTGGAAATTCTCAGCAGTGTCAGGATCTGTCTGGGTCATCTTGCACCGTGAGAATAATTGCTGTGCTCTATGTTTGATAAATGAATAAATGCATGGATAGAAGGGCTGGGCAAGGGCTACGCTATGAGGACCCTCAACTCAGTGCGTGTGAAGGACTGAATGGAAGAACTGGAGGGGAGGTGGGGTTTCCTTTCTCTGATCCATTGAATAAATCTGTGCCAATGTCCACCTGGTACCATCTATGGAGAGACCTTGCAAGAAAAGCCTAATGAGATAATGGACTCCCTTAAGGAATAAACTGGAAAGAACGAGGTTGACCTCCATAATAGAAACAGACAACGCCACGCAGCGCATTGCTATATAGGAGAATCCGTTTTTTTTTTTTTTTAAAGAAGGAAACAAAAACAAATGAAGACAGAAGGCAATTAAATATTCACAAGAATGCAAATGGCAGTCCTCTCTCTTGCTGGTGACTAGGAGGAAGTGCTTATATTTTATAAAGTGCTCCACTATTAATTAGAGGGCAATAAATAAAAGAACTCACATTCAATTTAAAAAATGAGTCCCAGACTTAATAGACAGTACATTCCACTCCCCACACTGATGTCTAAAATTAAAAAAAGCCAGAGAATTCTCCAGATCTCCAGGAAGGAGCCTGGCTCATGGAGCTTCATGGATCCAGCCACCAGAGTCCCAGTTCTGGTGCCTTCCTGGTGGAAGGAACACAGGCAGCCAAGAGAATCACTTTGGGCCCAAGGAGGGCCTGGATGTGCAGGGCTACGAAGCTGGGTGTGTATGACACGTCTTGTTCAAATGGCAGAGTCTGACGAGAAAACCATCTTACCTAAAACATGTCCTTGAAGAAGGATTTACTGTCCCTTATTTACGTTAGTGTGACCAAAGAATGGATGTGCTTAATTACACGTTTAATTGAATGTGAAAACACTTTACCTCTATTGAATATTTCCTGTTTGCTGAGTGTTCTGATGGGTTTAAAGTACATTTGTATAATTTTACTGCTTTAATCTCTTTAATCTACTCCTGTCTTTTTTTTTTTTGGCTGGGAATTGAACCCACGGGTGTTTATCCACTGGACCACATCACCAGCCCTTTTATTTTGAGACAGGGTCTTGCTAAGTTGCTTAGGGTCTCAATAAATTGCTGAGGTTGGCTTTGAACTTGTGATCCTTCTAACTGAGCCTCCTGAATTGCTAGGGTTACAGGCATGTGTCACCACCCCCAGCAGTCTATCTTCTTAAAAAAGCAAAACAAAACAAAAAAACTCACCTAAGATTAGTAATACTAACTTCCCAAAGGTGGGAAGGGAGAAGTGAATGGTAACTAGTGGTATTTACAGTTTGAGGCACTAATTCCACTCCCAGTATCCGTAAACACTTTATCTCCCCCAGCCTAATCTTGTTTATACATTAAATTATGTTAGGGGAATTTAAAATGCTTTAAAGATGGTTACATAAACCATTATAATTATTGGGCTTAATATTTTTGGGTAATCATGGGATTCTCTAAATGCAATATGAACTTGAAAATTCACAGTGGCCCTGTCCTATTTCATAGAACTACCTTCTTTCTCTCCTTGGGGCTCAGTCATTTACTGTGTGGCTTTGAGCAAAGCACTTAACTTCTCTGTGTCTGTGTCTCTGGCTGCAAATGGGAATATTATCAGTACTGACCTCCAAAGACTGCTGTGATGATCCAATGAATTAATTCACATCACAAACTTAGAACAGTGCCAGACAGCACACACGCCCTCTCTGTGTTTGCTCTTTTGTTCTTATTACTATGACTGTGAGGACAGTATCGCAGCACCCTTCCTTTGTCATCAGGCTTAAGGAACAGAGCACCTGCCTTTAACACTAGGGAGCAGGAATCTGAAGTCATATTCACTTATGACTCTATTCATTACATTGTTTAAGGACAGGGACATGTTCTGAGAAATGTGCCGTTTGGTGATTTGGTCACTGTGCCAACTTTGCAGAGCACACCTGCACAGGCTGAGGTGGCTGCAAGTCACCAGGAGACTCAATTCTGTCTTACGTGTGGCCCACTGTAGACCAATACACCATTACGTGGTGTTCTCTGAGGGAATTATTTTCTGTATCTTTGAGTGAGGTGAGTCAGCAGGAAGGGTCAACAGGGCTGTCGTCTCCCAGGAGACTGGACAGAAAAGGCTAAAGGGAAAGGTCTGTGGGGGCGGTGTTTGTTTTGCATTTCATAAACTCAATAATCCCATTACAACTTGCAAATTCATTGTATTTAAAGTATTTCATGACGTTTGCTTTATAGTACCATTATTTTCTTTAGTAAGCACACACACACATACACACACAGAAACACACACACACAAAGAGCTCTATCATATCTCAAAAAAAGTTCCTGACAACCTAGCAAGAATCAGAAGAGGAGGTTCGTGAAGTCACGGGGTGACTGTAAGCTCTGTAATGCAGCAGGAGCCTGGGGTTGCAGGCTGGGCTGCTCTACCAGTGAGGAGGAGCCCAGACTCTGCCTGGTTGCATGGTCTGGACCAGGGATCTTGCGTGTATGAGTGGTTATAGTTTTCCAAATGGACTCATCCAACCTCTGCTTTGCTGTGTGGACTCTTCAAATTTAAAGGGCGCATGAAAAGAATAAGACTGACCATCTGCTTACAGGAAGAGAGTCATGCTGTCCTGAAGACGCCCCCGGAGGGAAGCTATGGCACTGAAAGTACAGGGCAGGTGTGGAGGAGCAGGTGGGAGGAGATGATTGACCCACCTGGGCAGCAGGGGAGACAGGAGGAGGAAAAAGGGCCCCAGCCTGACAGTTCACTTGCTGGTGGGGAAAGGAGAGGGAGTGAGAGCATCCTGGGTTTCCTCTGGTTATGGACTGAGACCAATATGTGGCTCCCTAGCCTTAGGACTCCACGGGCACCCAGGCCTGTCCTGATGCACTGATGGGAGGAGCTAGGGTCCTGCGAGTGATGGCAATAGCTGCCTATTGCCTTTTCTCCCCAAACTTAAAGGCACAAGAAAGAGTGTTCTCACTAAGAGACTAGATGTCTTGTACATTGAAGTCAGAAGTGTTAGCTGAAAATCACCCTCAACTGGTTGCTCCTGATGAAGTAAGTTCAGGAGCCCATGTCCACTACAAAGGCACCAACTTTGGTAATGTGTTGCTCTGTACACTGAGAACACCACACTTGACCTGACAAGTCTCTTAGGCAGAGAACAGCTGGGAATGACAGCACACTTTGGAGTTTTGTTTCTTTTGGTTGGGGTATGGAGAATTCCTTTCCTTTAAAAATACAAAAGCTGGGCATCCTGATGCATGCCTGTAATCCTAGCGGCTCAGGAGGCTGAGGCAGGAGGATCGTGAGTTCAAAGCCAGCCTCAGCAACTTAGTGAGTCCCTGAGCAACTTAGTGAGATCCTGTCTCTAAATAAAAAGGGCTGGAGATGTGGCTCACTGATTAAGTACCTGTGTTCAATCCCTGGTACCAAAAATAAACAAACAAACGAACAAAGAATAAACAAGATGTTTCATTTCCTCCTAAACATTAGAGCCTATTAAAGAAAACTCCATACTATTTCAAATCACATTGGATCTAGTGTTTTAAGATCAAGAACTCTGAAGAGCTTAAATATTTTCACTTAAAAACTGGAGTTCTGTTGCAGAGAAGTGGGAGCCAGGGTGCATATTAGGGTATCGTGTGGCCTGGCTGGAGGATGCACTGTCAACCAGTTACAAGGGTAGTGATTTCAGTGAGAAATTGGCTCTCCAACTGCCAAGCTGCCTCTGTGTCCCTGGCCAGCATAGGTCTCCTGTTTTGACTGGTTCCTTTCCAGTCTGGTAAGGGTGTGCCTTGGATAAGATGAAACTGGCTGGGCCTCCTCAGTTTCTGAACCCTCACCAGCTTCCTTCAGCATCATCAAAATTAGTTCTCCGTGTCAAATTCTGAAGTGGAAAAGTCAGCCTACATTTTCCCCTTGAAGTGTCTATTTCTCCAGCAAAGTCAGCGCGGGTGGTCTTTTGGGAGCAGGGTCACTGAAAACCTCCACCAGTGCAGGGTTGTGACTCAATCTTCAGTGGGGTCAGTGCAGACCAAGGTCAAGAAGAAAGCAGAACCAGTGTGCCAACCAGCTTACTGAGGTTTAGGAGTTGGGTAGAAGTGGCACTTGGGGCAGAAGGACAATCTCTTGTCCCAAAAAAGGAGCCGGCACTACTCAGCAAGGGCTATACTGTGCCCTTCGGGAAAAGAAACCAACAACAGAAACAGAAAGCTAAATTGACACATTTTTAAAAGTTGGCAATTAATACAAATATTTTAAGACTAGTGTGTGGCCTCATTATACCATCAGACAAAACACATCTGTGGACAGTCTGTCCTTCTCTGTGAAAAAGCTCAAAATATGCACCCTGGAGCAGAGAAGGGAGAGGTGGAAAAGGTGGAAAAGGTGGAAGGGGGCACAGGAAGTAAAGTCCCCTGTATACATCTGGCTCCAAGGGAGGCCTGGCACAGTGACAGGCAGAAACCTAGCAGCCAGGGGGCTCTGTAATGTTCCTGTGATTTCCAGGGGAGGGAATGAGCTGGCTCCTCTTCTTGGGAGCCTGATCCAGGAGGGGAGAGGAATGGGGCCTTAGGCGCTCCGGGATCACATGCGATTCAGTGCCCAATAGAAGGCTGTTGCTGGGGAGAGAGTGGTGTCTCCTACCTCACTGACCCTCCGAGAGGCTCTGCCTCCTGTTACCAATAGCAACTCACTGGCGCCTGGCAGGCCTGGCAGCTGGGAGGCTGTCGCCTCTTTCCTGGCGGTCTCCTTCCCTCTCTCGCTGTGCAGGGCCTTTCTCTTGTTCACCAGGGTTGCTATGTCATTACCAGATGACTGGTATTAATTAAGACTGCTCCCTGGGTGGTGGTGGTGGGGGGTGAACCTGTGGGTGGGAACATCAGAGCCCCCCCAAGGAGATCTGATCCTGAAGTGGCATGAAAAGGGACAAAGGGCTGTCCCTTCCTGGTCTAAGGGGCCAGGATGTGTCTCTAGGAAAAGGGTTGGGAGGTCACAAGTGGGCAGGAATCAACCCCAGGGCAAGAGGTCTCAGAAACGGAAGAGTTCATTGGGGCAGATACACCACTTCTGCAGGAAGAAGGAGGAAGCCACGATTTTTGTTACAGAATAAGATACACGGGTCCCCACAGATGTATACACGGGTCCCCACAGACATACACAAGAAAGGAAAAGTCTGACATCTGGCATAACCAGTCATATTCTCTCCAAAACTTTCTGCTGTACCTATGTGTGGCCATAATATTTAAGTAATGCTTTCCTTTGTAATACGTCACCTTTTTAAGAATAAGCTAATTAAAAGCAAAGCTTACATCACTGTCCAAAAAAAGAAACCAGTATCACCTGCCATAAAGAGAAAGCAATGGGAAAACCACAAAAAACTACAAATGCTCAAGCACATGCCAGAGAAATCATCTCAGGGGATACCCAGGTGTGTGTGTGTGCATTGTTGAGAAACAGGAGAGAAATCAGCCACTCTAACAGGCTGACTCTAAACTATCACCCTCTCTGATAAGATGCTGTGTGAAGCCAGGAAAGATACCACTTGGAGTACAGCTTTCATGTCATTACTTGGGCTCTACCACCCATTTTACCTAGTAGCTCCTTACCTGGTAGGCAATGATGTGCTGCACAAATAGCAGGCAATGCAGCTACTATTCTAAGATGAATGACATGTGGAAAGTCACCCACCACGCCATAGTTATATTAGTTTAATCCATTCAGCAGGACCCAGGGATCCAAGCTCATTCAAGAGAGATATCCAGGAAAACTTCCCCCTTAGATCTGCAGAACACTGAGGACCAAACTCACCACTTCTTAGACTTGAGCCGAGGCGCTGGGTTCCGGGGGATGAGGAAGAGGGCTCTCATGGGGTGCATGTCACAGAGAGCTGCAAGAGACCAAAACAAGGGCCAGCTCTGGTTAGGAGGCTAAAGCCAGGCCAAGTCCATCCTGCAGTGCAACGAATACTGCCAACTGACCCTCTGGGCTCATGCAAGCCCAGTGCAGCCCAGGACACAGGATCCAAAAGCTTCCATCTGGAAAGCACTTAGAAGAGCTGGTATCTAATTAAAAGAACCGCATTAGATATCACCCCTTTCAAATAGATATGTTAACATTTCTAAGGAATACTCTTACTTCACATTTAAGGAAAATAATTTAAAGTGTCAACGATCTTTGCTGTAAATAACCATCTGACATTCAAAGCACACAGCATTAGATGACAAGTCTAATGGGGACGGTTAAGTTGTTTTTAGTTGGCAAAAGCCTAAGCCATAAAATAGAAGGTATTTGATGATCCAAAGTATAGTTCCTTATACATTGAAGGCTCATCCAAGCTCAGTGCGATCTCTGTGGATTTCTAGAGTCCAAAGTACTATCCTAGAACATCATTCACTGTCTCCAGATATCTCAAGTGGCTTCCCAGGTTTCATGATTTTTTTTTTTTTGGTTTGTTTTTATTTTTTAAATTCACGGAAAACCCCAGGAAGACCAATGAATTAAGGCAAATTGAGTCTGGCAGAAAGACCAAGTTACAAAAATATCTCCATGTGTCAACATGAGATTATCTTTTCCAGTGAAAGCTCTCATATAGTCATATTTTAATCAAAATATTTTGTTAGTTTACTTTTCAAACAGCTGGGACTACCTTTTTCTTTGTACCTAGACTAAAAACGAAGGGTTCTGTGGGTTTATGTTTATTTTTAGCCCTACCTACCACATATCAAGAATGATAATTGTTTAAAGACTGTYGACTGTCGTATATTGCTTTTCTGATTCATAAATGCCCATCAACATTTGTGAATGAAAGGAGTGGTGTCAACAAATACTCCCAATCAATCATGGGACAGATGAAATCAACCAAATCAGGATTGAGAAATAAGAAGAGTATGATAACATGAAGGTAAACAGCTATGAATACAATGACCTGTCCATTGGTGAGAAGGATGGTTTGGAACTGGTCCTTTCAGAAGCAGACACCAAGGTGACATTAAATATGCAAGGATACTACTGGGGAAAGTTCCAGTGGGAAGGGAATTAGAATTAGGGAGGGACCCAGGAAGGATGGGCAGGGTCCTCTGGTGGCTCTGCAAGTCTGACTGCCCTGCAATCCAAGGCAGGTGAGCAAAGTCACAAGGGGTTGCTTCGAGCCCCAGGGGCCTAAAAGAAATCTTGTCTTCCAGAAAAGGGTGTGCCTTCTTGTTCCCAGACATACTTGGTCTTTGATGGGGAGCGGTCCTTGGGAGAGGCAGGCTCAGCACCCTTCTGGCAGCATGGAATGGCATCACCTGTGTGGAAGCCTGAGAAGTACATTCTCATGGCCACCACACAGCAGATAGCAATGCTTTGCCATACCAGTGTGCCAGATCCTAAGGAACTTGAGAGGGTCTCAGGATTGCCAGAGTCCTGACCATCCTGCCTCAAATAAGGGCAGGGAAATCTAAAAATCTAAACATCAATAAAGTTAGAGTTGCCTAGTATGATGGCACATGCCTGTCATCCCAGCTACTCAAGAGGCTGAGGCAGGAGGATCACAAGTTTGAGGCCAGCCTGGGCAACTTAGACCCCCCGCCCCCATCTCAAAATAAAATGCAAAGGTTGAGGGTGTAATTCAATGGTACAATGCTAGCCTTGTATGGGTAAGGTCCTGGTTCAATGTATAGTTGTTGTAAAAAAAAAAAAAAAATGGCAGCAATAGAATATAAGTGTTTGTATAACCTGGCCCTGAAAAACCAGCTTTTGAATTTTTTGTACGCTGGAGCTTATAGTCTTTGTGGGTTGCTCACAGTTTTATGTTAGGTGACGAGAAGTTCGAGAATAAACTACACACCAAATCTGTAAGACAAATAAGACTCTCAGAGTTTGCTTTCATTTTTTTTTTTTCATTTTTTCTTCATGGAAACAAGATCCTCACGCTGCTCTGAAATGAACGGATTCCTGGTTAATTTAAGATGACTCTGCTTTCTAAATATGCCAGCTCGAATCCATGCAGGGCTCAGCGTAGCAGAAGTAAAGCAACTGCAGCTCCTGGCAAAGAACCTCCAGTCCCCACAGCGTGGACCAGCAACAGATTCCACCCCAGAGGAGGATACTTACGGGGAGCACCTTCTGCCATCTCAATGGCGGTGATTCCCAAAGACCACAAGTCACTCTGAAAAACAAGGAAGGTACAGACACGTGCATAAATTCAGTCAACAAAGGAACACTTAGTTAAACCTGGGAATGGCTTGAGAGCTGCCTGTGGGAAAATCCTTCAGTTGTCCTGCTACCAACTTCATCCCCCCAACCAAGCTCCAAGGTGAGAAGCCCTCGTTCACTTTTTTACTGATGATACTTTGCATGATGCTTAACTCAGGGTCAGTTTTCAACAAATATATGGTAAATGAATACAAGTTTTTAAAAATCCACTTATCACTGAAATTCATCTGTCAATGGAACCATATGAAGTTACTGCTATTTCTTCTGAACATCTTTACTGAGTTCTAATTGTCATGAAACAAACTGCACATTCATAAAGTGTGCCATCTAATAAGGTATGACACATGAATACTCTCGGGATCCCATCACCCCAATCAAGATAGTAAACATACCCATCACTCCCCAAAGATCCTACTTGCCCTTCTGTATTGTAGTCCCTGCTATCTATGGCCCCACCCCACCATCCATAGGCAACCACTGATCTCTTTTCTGTCCCTACGAATTAGTGTGCATCTTCCAAAGTCTTCTATTAAGAGTCATGTAAGATAATGCCTTTTTGCAATCAGTTTGTTTCACTTAGCATAATGTTTTGAGGTCCACCCTTGTAGCATGTATCTGTACCTCACTCCTTTTTATTTTCTCAGTAGTACTCCATTGGGTGGACATAGTGCAGTTTGCTTTCAGTGGTTGACAGACATTTGGATTGTTCCCAGTTTGAGCTAGTCAATACAAAGGTGTGCATTTTTATTTCTTTTGAGAAAATAGACAGGAGGGGAACACAGCTGGATCAGATAGTAGGTTTATCTATTTTCAATGGTTTTTAACCTGCAAGACATCCCCCATATTTTTTAATTAGATGAGGACAGAGAGACTTTGATGATGGTGTTCACTAGTTTCTTCCTAGTGTTTGGAAGAGAGTTTGGAATAGTTGTAGGTGCTCAATACATTTGTTTAAGAATGAACTATTCTCCTTCTTGTAAGTAGACTATCATTTGAAATAAATATCTTTTTTTTTTTTTTTGTGATGCTGGGGATTGAACCTAGGGCCTTGTGCATGCGAGGCAAGTATGCTACCAACTGAGCTATATCTCCAGCTCTCAAATAGAGGTTTTTATACCCTTATATTCTTGCTTATGCTCAGACTGATTTTTTGCTCTGATCAGCATTTTCTAGACCAATGATTCCCCTTTAACTGTGCGGTCTCCATCTCTAACAATATGCTTCTCCCACACTCTGTGTCTATGGCTCAGTGGCTCGAAAGATGGCAGGAGAGGGGGTCAAATCAATAGATGGGAAAACCAGGTTAGGAAACCTCAAACAGATGATGGCTGCATTTGTTTCCCAGCAGATGGGAGTTTTCCAACCTGAGAGAAAATTTGGTTCAGTGGCCCACATCCTGATATAGTCTCACCCTCCTTGCATTTTAAATACATGATGCATTGTGTATATTATTCAARACCTCACCTGCAACCTCACTCAGATCAGAGAGACCAAAGTTAAGTTTCCTTATATTCCCATCAAACAAATGTCATGGGTCCATAAAACACATGTAACTGGAAGAGGACCATGAAACTCATGCTGAGTCATTCCCTACAACTAAATTTCTCAATATCCTGTGAGTGATCCCCCCAGGCCTGTCCAGTGTTGGAGCTGAGACCTACACAATGTGATGAGGACTTTCCAGGGCATTGGCCTCTTGCCTAGCATGCCACCTACTTTACCACAGATGCTGGGCACATATGAACCACACATGAGGACTTCAGTGGTAGATTCTTTGCCTGTCACCAGTTGTCAGATCGATACCATTGTCCTTGGGTGCCAGGTAACTTCTCTGCTTTCAGCAGTGCTCAAAGGAGGCAGCTCGTACCTTCTTGCTATGCTTCAAGAAGGATTCAGAGGTTTCAGGAACCACGTACACCCCCAGTGAGTGCACAGCCTCGAAAAGGACTGTGTTTCCTACGGGCTCTTGGCCTTGCTCAGGAGAACATTTCCAGAGCTAAAGGAGAAGGCCTGGCCCACCTGTCACAGGCTGGCACAGGAGCAGTAACTGGTACAGAGGGAAACAGCTCGCTTATACGTGGGGTTTTATGGTTGGTAGACAAAGACAGTTGTTCAGGAGCCTGATGCAAACACTGAGTCACTCTGTGCAGGAGGCATCAGGCAGGAAACAGTGAGAATTGTCTGGAAATGGAGGGTCAGCTCCAAAGGTCCCTGTGCTATTTTGATCGGCAGGCCTTGGCAGTTCTGCCAGCATGTGTCCAGTATCCCTAGAAACTGCAGACCGAAATGAGGTGCGAGCAGGATGGAGGAGGCCAGGCTCTGCCCCCTGACTGCCACAGCAGAGTCAAACGCAGATGGCCTCCAAGTTTAGGAGACTGAACTGGCTGAACAGCCCACATGTCTGAAAGAGAACATGCTGGTCTGGCAAGGGGACGGCTCCAGGGCCTGCCTCAGGTGGGGCAGAAAATGCACAGAAGACCCAGCACTCTCCTGCCTTTGGGTCTGCGTTCAAGCTTGTCTCTGGGCCAGCAGCACCTCCCAGTGACCTGCAGGCTGCCTGGCTCCCCTCCATGAGGTCTTCCTTTAAGTCCTATGTCCTCCCCCAGTGCTGTCCATCCCCTGCCTTTCCCAGGACAGTCCCCCATAAACTGTCCCTTTCTAACATGCTGTGCGTTTGCTCACAGCTAATTGACCGTGCTTTGTGTTTATGGGTTGTGCCCTTGCCCCCAGCACACCCACGTGCACACTCCCTACCACAAGAACATAAGGCCTACAGGACAAGGATCTTCATTTTGGTGACTTATATATTCCAAGTACCTAGAACACCGCTTGGCACTGAGTAGACATCTAATAAAGAGGTACTGAATGAATGAACAAGCCAAAGACACGAGAGAAGGATGCAGAGCCTGAGTGTCTGAGGGCTGGCAGGACCCTGGTAGACCTTCACGTCCAACCTTGTACTTCACAGCTGGGGAAAGCGACAGAGCCAAGATCATAGTGCAAAGAAGCACCAATCACCAACATTTTTCAACAGAGCTGGGTCTCCTGCCTTCCAGGCCAGTCCTCTATTACCAAAGAGAAGAGCATGCATGCTTTATTTTTTTAAAGTCAGGGGTCCATAAAATAATCCTTCCAGATTCCTACTTCACAGGTGACTGAATGTGCTGGCAACTCAATGAAGGTGTTAAGATACAGTGAAGCACCCCAGTTCCATGCTAAGAAACTGGCCTCATTCTTCGAGGCAACATGGGTTGGCTTTTCAGTCAGACAGACCTGGATTTAAATCTGGGTTCCTAATTTAGCTACCCACAGAATGCTGCTTAGAGTTTAGCTTTCTCAGCTGTATAAAAGAGGTAACTGAAACGCATATGTTCAGGTATGCTCCCGGGCACAAAACCTGGCACACACTGAAGCTCAAGAGTATCGATTTCCTTCTCCTCTAAAGACTGCCTCTGTTCTGCGCGGTTTAGTCTTCTGTGATTACCCTCCATCTGGCTGTGGCTTACCCAACAGGCACTTTCAGCCCCTATTTCCATTGCTGTCTCTATTTCAGAGAATAGGAGAGCTACACTTGCTCTATCCTGACTCTCCTACAAGTTATGGATCTGACACAGTTATAGCCAATGAGACATAAACAGCCATCTTCAGAGAGCTTCCACTTTTCCCAAAAATAGGGAACTAACACAGCTTGTGTCCTGCCAACTCATCCCCACTTCTTTGTGCCTTGAATCAAAACATGGTATCTGCAGCTACAGCATCCATCTTGCATTCATGAGGAAATAAGCCATTGTTGACAGGGTAGAAATGTAGAAACCTAGAATTCTAAAGACACTGATGAGCCCCATGTCAGTCTTGGAGTACCTGCATCTAGGCTTCTGGGTATGGAAGAAACACAAATACATATATATATATATATATATATATATATATATATATATATATATCCAAAGGCATTCCTAAATGATAATGCATATACAGCAATAAAAAAAGAAAGCAGATTTTTGACAGTAGGGGAATAGGAGGTCTCACTTGTTAAGTGATCCTGGATCCATTCTACTGGAAGCAGGGAGGGTCAGTGAAGACATGTCCCTCTTGGGCATGCCTGCCCCCAATCCACAAATACTCCCCTTCAAATCAGAAGCTACTCCATTCCAACTCCCTGCATCCTGGGTGAAGTCACATAACCAGGCCAGCTACTGCGGATTCTTTTAAGTTTTCATTTCATATCACTGTTAGGATTTCTTTTTCTTTTGCTGGGGTTTCCTTCTTTTCCAAAAGGAACATTTATATTGCCGGCCATACATACCCAAAGTTGCTGGTAAGCTATGCTTAACTGCCGTGCTCGGAAGCCTTAAATGTCCTTGACGGGCCTTGTAAAAGCCCTCGGATACATTAGCAAGTCCCAAAGACACTTCAGAAGTTAAATATGGGAGAAAATATTCCAATTACCACTGGTAAGACAGATCACAGGAGACAAGAAAGGGAAGAGGGAGGAACAAGATAGCGAGAGAGTCAGGAAGAGATAAGTTTCTTTCGTGGCCATGGCGTGACTCATTTTGGCAGGAGCTGGGTAATTCATTATTCCAGAGGTGCTGGCTGCGTAGCCTGGCCCGTGGCATGATTAATAGACCAGTGCTGTGTGCATTACAAACAGAACAGGGACACATTGTGGTGGCTCTGAAGAGGCAGACATAAGACACAACTTCTGGTTGGGAGCTGGGGACTGCGGCACACTGGAGCTTGAACAGAAAAAGAGAGCGTTCCTTTTGGGCTGGGCTGCCAAACTCAGTGCAGAGCAGCACTCTCAGAAGGCCAAACCAGCCACACAAGGAAAGGGAGGCCATCTGAGGAAAGATCCCAGTTTCCTCAGCTGTAAGGTGAAGAGCACACATATCCTTCAGGGCCGGTGTGAGAATTCAGTAAGATAATATACACCAAGCACTTAAGAGTGCA